TGAATTTAATATTATTAATCTTGTTTCAGAGTTTGCTTGGATTAAAAATATTTTAAATAAAATACAGATAAATAGCATATGTTTTATAAAATTAACTTCAAGAGAAATAATTAAAATATTGTTATTACCTACTCTGAACTATTATTAATTTATAAATTATACATAATCTCTATTTTAATATCTAAAAAAAAAAAATAATAATAATAATTATACGAATAATTTTATATAAATAGATCAATCATTCTTTCACAATTATAGTAAAGTTTTAATTTATTATATATGATAATAATTATTTCAACATTAATGGTAAATTGTGCACTCAGTCCGTACATGAATATTTAGTTTATATGAATAATTCTTTATGATTATTTGTATGAGCTTTTATACAATAAAACACTTTTATAAATTTCCAGATTTATATGAGCTACGTATAAGAATACGTATATTATAAATCATCGATACTTTGACATTAAGATTTTACTTATTTCGATATTCAATATAATATAAGGAAATTTCTTTGCAAATATAAAATATTTCGTAAGATTTTATGTACTATTTATTGTTTATGTTAATGTGTCTTGTTGCAATAAAAAATATAATTAAATAGAAAATATTTATTAATGAAATCTAAAAATAAAATTGATATCCATATGTTTTAGAAGTATTAATATATATATAATATATTATAATGATATATTATATAAAAAATAAAGTGCTAGAACAAATGCTCGACATTTTTATACAAATGGAATTGTATAGAAATATGTTATTGATAAAGTAAGGGATTCACATTAATTTTTATATTTTACACCGAACTAGATAAAAATATTTGCTTAATTCTAGTTTAAAAATCCAATCTTTGGTATATATTTAAATGAATTTCACAAATAATACAATACTTATTTAATGCATAAACTATATTATTATAATATTTACTTAGGCGAACAATGAATTTAGGAATTATAAATTTATAATCTTATTTTTATTTTAATCCAAATTGTTTCTTATAAAACTGTTTCCACTATCGCCGATATTGAAGAGATTCCCGCTGTCGATTAAAACTTAGTAAATTAAAACATAATAACAATAATCCATTGTTTGATTCGGAACATTATTAATAATGACTTGTTAATTTAACTTTAGATATTTACTTCTTAAAAAGGAATAAACACGCATTTAACAATAATTTTTATGATATTTGGGACATTTATAAAACAATTTTGTCGATTAAGATTATAGTGGATTTATTGATCGTTGGAATAAAATAACAATTCGTTATTAAGATATGTATAAATAGTAAAATCAATATGGAAGGTTTGATACCTTTCCAATGCCTATAAACAACTCAAGCGTACAAAGCAAAGAGTTGTTAAACATTTTTTATTATATTATTATCTATTGACAAAGCATGAATACAATAAATTTTTATGCGCGTTCATTGAACAAATATTCAGCGTAGTTTAAGAATGAAAAAGTAAGATATCTCGTATTTTTTAATTTATATATGTTATATATTCTGTTTTTTTTTTTTTTTTTTTTAATTTAGATTGAATTTAATTAATATTCCTTCTATTTCTCTTCATAAAACTAAATAAAATGAAAAATTTTGAAAACTTGAATAATGAAAATATTATTTTTATTTTTATTAATATATTTTATTCATACACATAGGCATGATCACATACTTTTCAAAATAATTCATATTTAATTTAAAATAAAGATGATTTATATATATATATAAATAGTTATTTATATAAATTCGAATTTATTTGCGATGACATTTTATTTTATTTTATTGCATAAGAAACATTAGTAATATTTAACATTCTTTTGATATTATAATTTTAAAAAGATTAAAAAATTGCTTTTAGATATATATTTTTATTTGCATTTAAATATTTAAAGTATAAATTTTAAACGATTGAGTAAAATAGTGAAATTCTTAATTCCAAAATATTCTGCAATAAAATTAACAGCATTTTTTTCACGTTTATTATTCAAGATCTTGCGTAACAATATTAATGAACTAAAAAAAAAAGCCAACTAATTTTGACGGAAAATTATTCATTTGTTAGCAGTGACAAAAATTTTAATGCGAATTCAAATCTATAGAAAATAATATATTTTACAATAAGCTTATGTATATTATTAACTTCCAAATAAATTGACAAATTTTTTCTTTGCATGCACAATATGAATATTATTGTTTGTAAGATAATGAATTTCATATAATATATAAAGAAAATAATGTAAAAGTGTATTAAATTGATAATGCGACATAATAAAGATAAATTGGATTCTTCTATACAATTTTATGTCGACATCATCAATTAACTAATTAAAATATGCGACTTTTGTAATATAAATTTGGTTTTGACTGGATTTATATTTTGATAGGAATTACTAAATTATCATTTTAAAAACTGCATTATTCATAGAATCATAAAATTAAGAAATGTTACTATAGGCAGCAAATTAAAAAAAAAATTACTGACATATAAGACATTTCTTTTTATTAAAAAAAAGATTTTTAAGTCATTAAGGAGTTTTAGTTATATAAAAAACTGCTATAAATATTTAATTAGAATAATCGAGACTTACATTGTACAAGTTGCTATTTATTTATATTTTTTATTTGTCCAATATTGTAGTTCTTTGATAACCGGACATTATTTTTATATTTATTATTAAATTACTTAAATTGAGGAATGTTAGCTTTTCTTATAATTTTCACAGATAGCAATAAATTTATTACACAACGTACTAATATGTAAAGGAAATTTGTAATAATTAATTTATTTATGACTATTCTGTTAGAAATGATTTATAGGTCGGACAAAATTAACTCAATATTTAAAAATATTAAGGCTTTTTTAAAAATATTTTTTAAATAAGCAATCTATTTCTTCAATAAACTAACATAAATTTAAATTGTAGATTTTATGCTAATTAACGTTATAATAAGATTCCAAATATCTTTATAATATAGAAAATAAAATGTTAGTTATGATGCCAAATAATAATTATTCTAGGCCAAATATTATTGAAGTGAACAAAATATTTCAAAACGATTTTTATCTTGACAAGCACGTTTTAAAAGAAAGTAAAAAAAAAATTAGATTATATACCAGGAGCATTTTGTTTGCAATGTGTAAATATAATTATGTTTTATTAAAATATATTTATACGTGTTTATAATAAGAATATTAGTATGTTTATTAAGAATATTAGTACGTTAAGATTCTGTTGTAGCGTGTTAATCCTTTGAATATTTATAATAAAGATAATAATTTAAATTGACATAGCTCACCTTTTTGAAATTATAAATCATTATAACGTGTGAAATATCTTTCCATAAAAATATAAATATACGTTTTTCATATTAATATTTAATGCATTTTTTGCAATTTAATGTTTTTGTAGAAAGATTCGCATAAATAGCATCTTAAATTTCCACGTATTCGCAATCGAAAAAGTAAATGATATAATAAAAAGCATCGGCTGATAAGCAAATACTCGCTCTTACCGACGCCTAGTATATCTTTTTCATCAAACGGTTCTAAAATTCATAGATACATGTTTGCGCGCGCGTGTGCATAGATGCCTGTAAAGACGTTTAAAGTCATAGCTCGACTTATGGATTAACACAGAAATATTTTCACTTACATTGCATAATTTTATTTAATTATCTTTGGCTTCGCAATTTATTACTCCCCGCCAAGCAGTATCTGCGGTGTGATAAGAAAAAAAAAGGAGAAAATGAACGGCCAACAATCCTTAATTGAACTCTTTTCGAAATAACGAAGGAGATAAGATCTTGAACGAGCAACTACTACGGGGTACAAAAGCACGAAGCCTATTCCCGTCTTTCTCCGAGTCCACCACCTGTCGTACGCATGCGCACTCCTTGACCTCCAGTTTCACCGTAGGATGTGTGGAGTATATCGGGCGGTCGAGAGGAAGAGCGAGAGGGATAGAGGAGCCGTGGGCTAACCGTGGGGCCACAGGCCAGGATACCACCACGCGCTACTCACACGGCTACGTCTCTTGGTTTTGTGGACGCACAGTCCGAGGCAAAATGGCGAGCCGTGCGAGATCGCGCCAATAGGCCTGCACGAGTCGCGCAGCGCAGCGACAACGGCAACGAGAACGGCGGCGGCGGCGGCAGCGGCGGTCGCGGTGGCGGTGGCGGTGGCGGTGTCGGCGGCGGTGGCGGCGGCGCACCTTCTATCAGACAAGCAAGGTTCAGCTATTGTGCGTAGTTACTCGCACCTCTTTGTAAATTGTTGTTGTGCCACGCGAGGGTACAAACGCGCCTTTCTCAAAATAAGGTTTACCGTGCTATTGTCGTGAGCGAGCAAGACTTTTGAACAACGTGCTCAGTCCCACTTGCCGTGACTTGGGAACAGTTTTTTAAGTGTCTCTCTCTCTCTCTCTCTCTCTCTCTCTCTCTCTCTCTCTCTCTCTCTCTCACTCGGTCAAAATCAGTTGCAATGAACTCAACGATCGCAACTATCGTCGCAGCACCCTTCGACTCTCGACTGTTATCCTTATTCGTCGTCCTGCGTAGGTTTCGCCGCCCGACATCCTCACATTTTGTTAGATTATCCTTATTTACGCGGGCGTGTGTGCGCGCGCGTGTGTGTGTGTGAGTGCGTGCGTGCGTGCGTGCGCGTATTTAAATGCGAGCTATGATTGGGAAAGCCACTTAGGTAGCATATCGGGAATGAACGATTTTCGCTGTTTCTCCTTTAATTTGCATTAATATTTTTCGTAATACTCAATGCCACTTTTCTTCGATCGATATTGTATTCTATTTTAACATTATTCGGCTAATGTGCGCAATTGAATGCAGAAATTGTTTAAGTTTCGGTGATTTTTATGCATTCTTATTTGTAACTATTAATGGCATAAATGCTTTCGCAAGACTTTCTAAATGTTGCTTAATTTATTTTATAATATATCGTCGCATGTCAACCAATGCCGTTTAATTTTCCAGAGAAAAGAAATAAACAGCCAACTAGATCCCTTGCTACTCTACATTTCACAACATTTTATTCTTCTATGGAGTTGTCGGTATTGTGCAACAACTAACATTGAGCACTTCTCAATGAAGGTACGTGCAAGTTTTTAATTTAACTGATTTTTGTTTTTGTCTGCAGCTCACAACACGCTTTTCTTTCGTCTTAATTTTTAGATTCACATTTGCATATACTTAATATTAGTATTTTTATGTTTATTTTTAATCTGAACATTTTTTTTCTTCCTTTTTTTTCTTCATTATTTTCTTTTTTGCTTTTTTTTTCTTTTTTAACCAATGTACACGACGTAAAACGAATAAATTTCAAATTCAGGAATTCGACTATTACGTTATTGCTTGCTTGTTTATACTTGTATGAACATTACTTTTTTTTTTATTTTTTTTGAATCCTTTATTTAATTATTTAATTATAATCTATTATAATTTCTATAATAATTAGTAGATGTAATAGTATTTATTATGTAATCTTTATGTGTTGATATATTACCTCCACAAGCACCATGCAGTTTCACTGTTTTATTAGTACATGAATCACTGCGAGGTAACTCCCAATATATATGAAATAAATTATAAAACAAACTGTTATCTTTTTTTCTCTATTTTTTTATTTTTATTTTTTTTATTTTTTTTTTTTTTTTTTTTGCAACAGGAGAAAGCAAATATATATATATATATATAGTGTTAAAAAAATTTGATTAATATTTTGCTTTTATAATAACAACCAATTTCTTAGAATACATATTTCTTAATCTTAACACTATTATCGTACGTTAACAAGCAAAATTATTTTTTTTTTAAACTTTTTTCTTTTTTCATATAATAAAAGTAATAAGATATTTTCACTATTAAAATATTGCTTTGTAATTTTATAAATGTCAATATAAACATCGGTTTTATTTCCTGAAATATGGCCCTAGTGCATAAACTGTAATTGTTTTGTTAATATTTTAATATAATTTAAGTTAATTTACAAATAAGCTATTGTTAAATGTCGGCTACACTGGTAGATAATAGATGTATAATAACTTTGAAACATCGTAGTTAGTAGTTAGCTGTAAAATGTTATCATATTTATGGAAAAGCAATTAGTTTGGTCGATGACTTTAATGTAGTACATTTCTTTGAATAAATGAAAAAATCTTTCAGCCACAGCTTTTTCCATAATGCCAAGATATATCAAGGTCATGATAACCTTGAAATTGAAAAAAAAAAATAAAAATAAAAATAAGTGCGTGCGTGCGGGTGGGTATATTATCGTATATTGTAAATTCGAATTTTTTCAATTGCTACGTTTATACGTGAATTTTCGATAAGTAGCTACTTTGAAAATTATTCTAATAAATGTTTTGTTTTGTTTTTTTGTTTTTAATGGTTTGATTTTTAAGATTTATTAAGCTAAGGATACTTTATGATAAATAAATTTACGAATTTTGAAGAAACCGGAGAATTATAATGTCTATAATGTTTTATAAGAAAATTTTTGTTGAGTTATTTCATAATTAAAAACAACCAATTACTTAATATTTCTAACATAATTACTAGTAATTTTATTGGAAAAAAAAAAAAAAAAAAAAGATAAAATTAAAATATGCGCTAATGGTAAACGTATATACTATAAGTAACCCTCACTTATTTATGTGTAATTCTTGAACAAACGTGTTTATCAATAAATAAATTTGCTCGTCAACGGCAAATATCATAAGCTAAGGTATTAAATAAGTGAACAAACAATGCAATGAAAATATTAATATTTAATTAAAATCTCTAAAATTCTTGAAGAAAGGTATGCAAATGCATACTGTCGAAGACCTACTCGTAGCATCTCATCGATGAGAAGAGAAATAAAATAGTCGCGTCAATGGCTCTTGTCAACTCGGGGGTAGAAATGACGTAAGCGAGAGGTACAGATCTTTCAATCTTCTCCTCTCAATCGTATATTCTAATCTTTACATTGTATTTGGGAAGCGCAAAGGTTGAGATGATTTTTTGAAGAAAGTGAAGTGAACAAATAATGGTCACGTCATCTCTTTTGTTTGGAATTTGGCGTCATAAAGCATGCGAATCATTTTATTTAACCCAGATCTCGGGTGTCCTAGTCACAGTCCATTGATCTGTCATCTTGAATAGCCGTGGCGCGCGCAACGTCTAACAGATATTGTCCCGAAGGAGAATGATTATTTTGTGTTAGCAGCTCCCGAAAGTCTGGAAATAATGTGCTTGTGTGGCGTTAAATAACAATATATGTCTGAAAAGTCCAAGAAAACGAGCTTTATTTTCTCGTAAAATAACCTGCCAACGCGAAATATTGTCGTCCGTTCAAAAGATTCGATTTCTTTCTTTATACTTGTACGTACGTACTATAAACATTTAAAGTCCTCGTATAAATTGCCATTCGGGGAACGTGTTTGCTTCATGCAAATAAAAACATCCGAAAGGACATCTAAAGTCGGTTAAAGATCTTCCTAAAACACAGCGTTGTAAATATTATTACAATTGATTTTTATTCTATTTTAAGACAACTAGGCATCATAAAAACGATTTTATATTTTTTTTAACTTCGTTTTCCGTATTAAATAGCTCAAGTGAAATGGATAAGAGGCCATTCACTATTTTCAATATGTCATTATGGATAATAAATAATCTTACAAACTATTAAAAATCTAAACTTAACTGTTTGGGATAGGATATTGAAAAAATTACTATTATTCAATGCTCTAATTAATATTACGCACTAAAAGGTAGTTTATTTATCGATAATTGATCAATTTCATTCCTCCACAGTATTCCAGAAGTTCAGTAGAATTTTATTTCTACTGGAACCCGAAATTGTAACTATTACGAATTTCTACATTGTTGATTAGCCAGCTAAGCCAATGACGCAGATTTCGTACGCATTGCATTGTAAAAGAAATCTTTATCTACGTTGTTTAAAAATCGTTGTTTTTTTTTCTTCGCTTTTAAAATGTAAATTTCAAGCAAAACGGCAAATTGATTTAAAAATTAAAAAGTGTGTAAAACATGCCTTGCTACTCTTATTCGTTTTAATATTCGCTTCTTTCATTATTCATTACGTGTATAAACGCGAATTTTTACAAAACTTTATGCCTTTAAACTTTTAAATTTTATTAAACTTGCAAGGAAAAAAAAGATTTACATTTATAAATTGGAAACTTATTATTGTATTAGCCAAAATACACTTTTAAGATTTTTTTTTATATTTTACTGACGAAAGAAAATTTTTTCACAAAACTATTTAGTCTTCATTAATTTAGAATTGAAAATTTACATTTTTCCTTTTAAGATGGTAAACGACATGCAACTGATTTTGCAATTTATTCTCATTATATTCAAAATTTCAAATCGTCTTATTGAACATCGTTCATTTTATTTATAATTTATTGTCACAAGTCTTATGTTCATTCGTTGAATTTATTGAAATAATTATTCTACTACAATATATTACAGTTATTTACATTACAATATATATGCGCGCGCGCACAGAGAGAGAGAGAGAGAGAGAGAGAGAGAGAGAGAAAGGGTTAATACGGTCATTATGAAAGTATTAATAAATATGATTTAAAGAATTACATATAATTTTTAATGAATCTTTTAGTATATAATAATATGGTGAAAATATTTAAAGTATATTTTACTGAAATTATTATGAATTTTTATAAAACATTTTAATTCGCATTTTTCGCATGTAAGTACAAATGATTCGTTCGCTAATAAATACATGTAAAGGTGATTGGTGATTCGTGGTAAATTAAATTTTTCTATTTCTAATCGTTGCAAAAAGTGCATTTTTTGCTAATAGTACTAATGAATATAATAATTTGTTTCATTTTAAATAAAATGAGTTATACTGCACATACATTATAGAAAGTTAATATTAAAAAAAAATTAAGTTTTGAGATAGAGTAAGCAAATAGTTGGGTTATCTTCGTGGTAAATCGTAATAAAAATTAGCTAGAAAGTGAAAAATTAAGTTGACTTAATTTTATCGGGCCGCGCATGTTCTCTTTAAACTGCAGCCTGGAAAACTCACTGCAGTAAATCGATTTTCCAACCCTATTAATAAATACAATACAGTTTCAAATATTAAAAAAATTAATTATATTCAAATTAAAATAGTATCTTGTGTAAAAAATGTTATGCTGCTTGTTATATTAACTGGTTTATATATTAAAATATAATATACTAATCTTTAAAATTAATTTCAATCGCTAATCTTAAGATGAGATAAAAATTTGAATTATAAAAATTAATAATTTTATTTGAAAGTTAATATTATATAAATTGGTATCCTTATAAGTTTTATATATTTAAAAAAGTAGGCAAATATTATTAGGTTTTTGCTGTTACTCTCACATCGTGATTACAAAATTTCTTTTTCATAATAAATATTTTATTAATTAAATTAACTAACTACATACATTCAAGAACTATAAAGAATTCTAATTTTTCTACGATTAATAAGTAGCATTAAAGTACTGAAGTAGATGAACATCATGTATTACAAGTTTTTACATCGAAAAATTCATTTGAAATGAGAATATTCATCATCTTTAATTAAATTTTATGAACTCTTTAATACCTGTACATTTAATAGAAATAGTAAAAGTATTTATTTAATTATCGTCATACGCTACGTATACAAGTAATGATTTTTATTTGCATTTGAAACATTCAAAGGGATATGTATAAAAAAATTGTTACTTATGCAAAAACTAATTTATATTACAATATATTTTAATATAATATTTTTATAATGATGTATACGACTATTGAATATTAAATTTTTTAACATTAATTACTGATGATATCAAATGATATAATATTTCAATTTCAATTCTAATACTTTAATTAACAAAATTAATAAATATATTATGTATTCATAATAATTATTTGCTATCGATAATTTTGTATTGTTTGAATTTTTACGTTCATTATTAAATCTTTAAAGTAAAGTATATTTAAACTCATCTTAATAAGCCTAATTCATTAATCTAACAATAGAAAATGTATTAAATTGAATCATTTGTATATATATATATATATATATATATATATAT